GAACCAATCAGAAGTAAGCTGGCAGGCTCTGGGCTTGCTTTACTGATAATGGTGGAATGCAGTAAACCCGCCTCCCCTGCCCAGCAGGCCCCCCACCATGGCCTCCAGTAGCAACCTTTCTGCAGCTCCTCTTTGGACTCTCAATATTGAAGGAGCAGAAAGAGGAAGGAGAAAGGCATAGTAACAGAAAGAGAACACAGGGAAGTTGATGAGCAGATGGAGGAGGACTGGAAAGGTGAACGGGAGGAAGAGAAAGAGCAAAGTAAAGGCCCCTGAGAGGGCTTAGTTGGTACAACTGCTTGGCCAGCAAGCTGGAACACCAGCGTTCTGCCCTAGGTTCCTATGGTGAAAGGTCAGAACAAACTACCCAAAGACGTCCTCTGCGTACACATGGGTGGTGGCTCATGCGTGCCTACACTTACACACATTGGTAGCAAACACACACAAATAAAGCATAAGGGTACTACTACAAAGTTCTGACAGCTCCGACGATGTGATCTAATAGCAAAAGTAACAAAGGCAGCATCATACTAAGTGAAGTAACTGACTACACGTAGGCAACCAATCAGCCAATTGACTACAGCCTAGCTAGTTAGCTAATAATCAGAGTTTTGCTTTGATTACATTTTTTTTTTACAAAGAGAAGAGACAGTTTCTACTTTGTCCTCACTTGAATATTGGCATTTCCTGTGAAATCCACATGAAGTCCATATTTCGATTGTGCCCTGCAGACACGCACATCAGGCTGGGCGCACACACCACAGGACTGTTATTCTCAGATTGCAGGTGATGGCCCATTTACTTTCATCAACCCATCACGTTCTCTGCCCTTGTTTTCTAAGTCCCTGGCTGTTGCTTTCCTTTAAAAACTAATAAAGGAGTCCCAGAGAGATGGCTCTGCGGAGCACTTGCAGCTCTTGCAGAGGACCAGCTTTGAACGCCAGCACCCACATAATGAGACAGGGGTTCCCCAAAACACCTCCAGCTCCAGCTTGGAGGGATCTAACGCATTCTTCTGGGCTCCCACCCACAGTCACAGGCACGCTCACACACAAATAAATACAACAAACCCTTTAAAGACGAATCTAAACTGCACATGCAGAGGGCAGCGATTATTGTGAAATGCTATGCTCTATGTGGTCTCATAATGAGACTAGGAGACGTAGATTAAGATAAAGGTTAGGGTTTAGGGAAAACGGCTCCCCAGATCCCGAATTTCCTAAGCCATTAAGCAAGCAAGGGATCAAAACTTTGTTTATTTAAATTCTCCTAAACCCTAGGAGCTCCAAACTTTGCCAAACCCCAATAGCAAAAGAAACAAAGTATCTCCCACAACAGAGAAAACCCCACGGTTAGGTGAAAAATTTCCCATGCTTAAAAGCCTTCAAAGAAGGAAAAAAAGAAAGAAAGAAAGAAAGAAAGAAAGAAAGAAAGAAAGAAAGAAAGAAAGAAAGAAAGAAAGACCAGAGAGCCCAGAGTCATGCATCGCTGTCTTCGGAGCATAACACGGAAGTGGCTCTCATGAAGTCACAACTGCTGCGCTGCCAGCGAAGGTCCTGCCCACGACTAAGTCTGCCAAGTGTCCTAAAGGGGGAGGGGCTCAAAGAGGGCAGGCCACCCACGCGGGGCTTTCTGCTTAAACTTAGTGGATCATTCACCCAACCAAACCAAAAAGATATAAAAGAGGGATAGGAATGTGGGGACGGGGTTGGGGTGGGGGAGGAATGGATGCATATGACCAGGTCGGGTTACATACGCATATGAAATTATTAAAGAATAAATTAAACATTTTCTAATTAAAAAAAAAAAAAAGGTCAAGCGTTACCGCAGGCCCTGTCCTCGTCCTTCCCACTCTGTGGGAAGCTCTGGGGAATGAGGCCCATTTCCTCGGAGACGAAACCCGGGTCTGTAACTTGGCGGCCAGTGTTTTCCAGATTCCTCTGGCATCCTCCCTGATGCCCAAGTGTAGGAACAAGGCTTCAGTCCACCGTGCCTAGCCAGTTCTTGTGAGGGAGTCACAGAAATCTAAGGGCCGGTAATAAGGATAATAAAATTTCTCAGACTATTAGACTCCCATTTCCTCATTTTCTATAATCTTCTTTTTTAACATTTCTGGAAATCTGTTGTCAAGCAAACGGGATGAAGGACTTTTTGCCTTTCTAGGCACGTGCACAAGAAAGCACGGCGTGAGTGTAAACCGCTCCTTCCCTTATGTAGGACGTGAAGCTAAAGTAGTTTTCTTAGCAGCTAAAAGGCAGGATGTGCAGGACCTGTAGGGAAAACGATTCTGCCAGTACTTACCTCGCTGGAAAATTCTCTGCTCCCAAAGCAGGAAAGAGACCCAAGCGCTTTTGTTTATAACTTAGAGCTAGTTCTTCTGAGAGAAGGGGGAGGTGTCCCGTTAGGGAGAAGCCACACCCACAGCGTACGAGGCTGGGGAGGGGGGTGGCCCGTGGTCTCCATTTGCAATTAGAAAGAAAAAACGTTAAGTCATTCTAACTCTGCAAAAATAAAGGGTTAATATTTTACTCTTCAAGGTTGACCACTAAATACTATAGATAATCTCAGCTACGTTTAAGCTGCCTCTGGGTGGCAACTGGCCTTGGGAACAAAGGCAGATACAAAATTTCCACTCTGAAATTAGCTCCTTAAATCAAGAAGTCACAGACACAAAAGCAGGTTTGTTCCAGGGTCGGATGGATTCTCAAGTGACACTGGCTTGGTTTGGAAACCCGTGTCAGCCGCCAACATTAATGAGAACTGAGGGTTTTGTTAGAAAGGATGTTAACACAGCTGCTTCTCGTTCTTAGGAGAAAGATAAGCAGGAACCGGACAACTCCAGGTGGATGTGTGTTTACTAAGCCTATGCCAGAATCCAGCTCAAGGCAACAGGGACTATGATAGGTCTGCAACTAGGCAGTTCTGTCGGCTTGTGCAAGTCACTGGTAGTGATTTTTGTGTAGCAATTCACCCCATGTATAAAAACCTTTAGAAAGTGGTTTTGCTCTTCTTTCCATCATCCTGCATTTATTTTCACTTTGATAATATCATCTCAGTAGTTACCATTTCCTGACACTTGGAAAAAATCACACTGTCCCAGGAAGATTCATTCCCGAGGATTCACGTCCCAGGGAGTAGTGAGAGATATGAGGTTCCTGGAGGCTGCAGAACATAAGGCTTTAGGATACATTGGTGATAGATGGGTAGATAGATAGATAGATAGATAGATAGATAGATAGAACATACATACATAGGTAGATAGATAATAGATAGGTAGACAGACAGACAGATAGATGAGTCAGACTCGGGGCTAAAAAAGACTTGTTTGTTTGATAAATTACTCCCACAGAGGGATACCTGGTGGTTTCTATGGGAGTCATCAATGAGAAATTATCTGTAATGAAGAAAGTCTTCAGACGTTAAACTCTGGGCATACTGGGATTTGTTCTTGCTGCTCTTTTCTTTCTAGGAGCACACTGTGAAACACTGTCTCACTAAAGAATCCATTTTTTCTTGTTGAGTATTTAATCCAGCTACTTGAGCATGTTAAGCACATATTCTAACTGTTTCCAGATTAGGAGCACTATTCTAACTGTTTCCAGATTAGGAGCACACATGCATACCGCCCCCCTCAGGTGTGTGTGTGTGTGTGTGTGTGTGTGTGTGTGTGGTGTCACACGTACTTCAGCAGAATAAACCCTTGATAATATTTACGAGTTTCCTTTATTTAGTTTAAGAGTCTGTGCTTACTATGGTGGGTGGAGGTGGGGTGGTGGGAACTGTGTTTGGTATTTGGCCAGGATTTAAGTTGGAAAAAGGTAACTTCCCCCAGCCCACAGACATAAATAAGCCTTACATTGGAAAAAGAAGGCATGAAGAGGTTTGACCATTGTTATCAGGGGATGCGGGGGTCTCATTTTTCTGGGTCGTAGACTCATAGTTAAAGAATTTTAAAACCGAGGGTCTGTGAGATGACTCAGCAGGTAAGTGCTCCTGTTGCCAAGCCTGAGAGCTTGAGTTTGATCTTAGAGACTTACATTCTAGAAGTAGAGAACTGACTCAGAGGGTCCTTGGACCACCACACACCCGCCTACCCATCCCCCACGACAAATAAATAAATGAATAGCTGAAACTAGAGTTTGAGAAAAACAACAGGACAGGCAATCAGAACGCTCAGAAACTGCAAGAGGAGGGAGAGGAAAGAAGTCATGCTGAATTTCAGAGTTAGAGGTCAGGAAGGCAGACTGGCTCAGAAGGCAGGTCTACAAGCATCTGTGGTGTGAGTTAGGCATATGACTCTCTCCTCAGAAACAAAGAGAAAATGCCCAGTGTCAGGGAAAGCAGTCATAGGTCTTGGGCCAATATTCGAAAGGAGAGCTAGAAACTGAAAAAACAAAGGTGCCCTGTGAGTTCAGGTGTTGCACTCTGAGCAAAGCTGCCTAATAATGATAGTCAAATAAGCAACAGATGCTGTGTTGGGGGTTTTTGTTGTTGTATGCATGTAGGTATAACATTCACACACATAAATCAAAGTAAATAACTTATGAACAAACATACAAATAAAACCAAACTCTAATCCTCTTAGATGACCAAATATAACTGAAGGGTTTTCAGAGAAATAGCTAATAAAAACTAAAATTTTTATTATTAAAACTAAGTCTTCCACGACAGGTATTGTGACACACACCCTTAATCCCAGTACTCTGGAGGCAGAGAGGGGCATTTCTCTGTGAGTTTGTGGTCAGTCTGGTGTACATAGCGAGTTCCAGTATCGCAAAGGTTACAAAGCGAGGCACTGTCTCAAAACAAATGAATAAATAAACAAGCAAGACTAAAAATAAAATAAGTTTCTAAGAAGAAAAAAAAACATTGTCACTTGGGGCACTACTCTAGAATCACAGCTGTGACTCTGTTAACCTAAGAACATCAAGTGACATTTCTAAACTTGACTCTTTGATAGATGATATGAAAGATGCTGGAACTATAAAACAAGCACATACTTTTCATTTTTGTATTAATTTTATTACAGGAAGGAGTTGAGTCAGAAAATTATAAAAACAATGCCACAGTATATTCTAAAAAGAGAGATTTCATTAAACTGTGTCCTGGAGCCCACTGTTTCACTAATACGCATACTTGAGAGAGCTCATTGTCTCAGAGTCTTCAGGATCGGCATAGAGGTGTAGCGCAGGGTCCATTTCTCTTTATTACAACTTGAAAATCTTCCTTATTTTTAGTACGATTTTCTCGTCAACAGGAGGCTGCCTCTTGCTGCCAGGCTGCAGAAACTTCTTTATGGTGGGCATGGCACTGATTCGGGTTTTCAGAGCCTGCAGAAACAAAACAAAACAAATTAACAACAACAGCAACAAAACCAAAAACCAAAGCCTCACGGAGGAGCCCAAAGATAAAGGCAGCTTGTAGCACAGTTCCTCCACCAACTTGAGTGTTTCAGCTACAGATAGGCAACGGCAAGGAAAATAAGATGAAGAGGCAGAACACTTTACATGAAGCTTACTAACACTTTGTATGAAAATTTGTCAAGATTTGCTGAGTTCTGTCACCCTTACAGTCTTCCTTAAACTCTACCCTTGTAGTTCATGACTCTGTAAGACTGCAAGGAAGAAAACCAGTCTGTCATATATTATCTCAGTGGAGTATGGGGAAGCTGAGCAAGAACCAAGAACAGGAAATAATGAATAATTATTAACAAATAAAAAATAGCTTACTGTGTCATCTGATATGGTAATCCCACAGGAGAAATTGAAGAAAGTAAGTAGATACATGGGGACTAATGATACACCCTTGAATGAAGAGTGTCATGAAAGATAACAGGGGGGAGCCAGGCAGTGGTGGCATGAGCCTTAAATCCCAGCACTCAGGAGGCAGAGGCAGGCGGATCTCTCTGAGTTCGAGGCCAGTCTAGTCTACAAGAATTAGTTGCAAGACAGGCTCCAAAGCTACAGAGAAACCATGTCTGAAAAAACAGCAACAAACAAAACTAAACAAAACAAACAAAAAAGATACCAGGGAAGATATTGCCAAATTTCTCAAATCACAGGCTAATGAAAACACAACTGAACAGAACCTTTGCAACAGAGCCAAGACAGCTTTAGGAGGAAAGTTACTGCTACCAGTGTTTACATTAGCCAGTCGGAGAGTTCTCAAATAAATAACCTAATGGTGTACCTCAGGTTTTAAAAGACAAGAGCAAGCCAAGTTCAAATCAGTAGGAAGCAATAAATATCACAGCATAAATGAATGAAATCCAAATTAAGAGAATAATAAATACACAGACTGAGGATTTAGGTTAGTTGGCAATGCTTGTTTAGCAGGACAAAACTCGGGATTCAATCCCCAACACTGAACAAATGAGGTGCTCCAGCACGTACCTGTAATCCTAGCACTGGGAAGGTGATGGTAGGAGGGTGTGAAGTTGAAGGCTATCTCTAGCTACACAGTGGGTTTGAGGCTTTCTGAGGTATTTGAAATCCCATCACAGAACACAAAATAAATAAGCAATACACATAGACTCTACCACATAAAGAGTTGGTTTAAAAATTATGAACACAATTAAAAACTTCAACAAATCTAACAAAAAGGTAAAGAGAAGCCCCAAATCAAGAGCATTTGAGATGAAAACAGGGATAGTATAATGGATTAGAAGGAAATTACAATGATCATTAAGAACATTTTGAAAAGATATTCCATAGATGAATAACTAGACGTGTATCTGACAAAAATCAAATCAAAGAATGTAAGCCACTTAAACAATCCTCAAAAACGAAGGTATTTCAGAATCTCCCTACAAAGCAATTCCAGGACTGCATTAATATGACTGCTGAATCCTACCAAACCTTTAAAGATGACTTAACACTAATGCTTCACAAAATGATAGAAATAGAAGGTGACGGACATTACAACATGGATTCTATAACCTCAGTCAGTATTGCTCTCCTGTAGTAGGCACTCCTCTCCTGCCGGGATAAAACACCATGATCAAAACAGCTTATAGGGGAAAGAGTTTATTTCAGGTTGTGGTTCCAGACCATAGAAGTCTATCATGGAGGGAGGCAAGCACCAGGCGCTAGGCATGGAAACCAAAGCAGGATGCTGCAACCCCAAGAATAAAGAGACAGAGCAACTGGATGGTGGGGTGGGATTATAAATGCCCAAAGGGCACTCCCCGGTGACATACTTCCCTCCAGCAAGGCCACACCTCTTACACTTCCCCAAAATAATCTCACCATCTGAGAACTGATTTCTCAGATATCGAAGGGGGGTATTTTTATTTATAGTGCTATACACATATCAAAACTAGATTAAGGACAACGCCAAAAATGAAACAAGCAAATGAATGAAGAAACTGCCCACAGCTCCTATTTCTCAATAAACAATTTGTCAATAGACACAGACAAAGAAATTGTCTATAAATGTTGATGTGGCTACAACAAAGCATTTGGTGTGATTCCCACACCATTTTGCTGGTACAGCCCACCACGAGGCCTGACGACAGGAATTACATTGGCTATGAATCTGTGAATGGGTGCATTGGAGGTGTTTGTAAAATGCATGAGCATCTGAAAAAAATGAATCCCACAGTCCCTCCACACATGTATCGGTAGGTTGTTTGATTTTATTAATGGTCTGGCAGATGGACTGTCTCAACTACTGATCCAATGGACAGACATAGCAGTTTCATAACCAACACTGGATCAAAGGGAATATCTATGTCCCTCTGTAGTTAGACCCAACAGGTTGGGAAGTAATTGAGCTGGAAGTTAAGGGGTGCACCAGGGATTGGAACAGGTGCACATAGTCTACTGCGGTGAATATTTTGTAAGATAGCTAGCCTATTTCTATCTAAGCTAGCTAAAATCAGATGTATGACATGAAATGTGAGTCGTCTTTAAAATCTGAAACCATCATTGTCCATTTGTTTGCCGTTCCTCCTTCCCTCCCTCCCTCCCTCCCTCCCTCCCTCCCTCTCTCTCTCTCTCCTTCCCTACCTTTATTTATATGTAAACATTTTTATACTTTAAATAGAAAGTGTTCTTTGCCACTCAAGGTTCCACTCCTTGAAACTGTTCGTACTACTTCATGGCATTCGAGATCACTAGCTCTTTGTGGGCAGTGTGGGAGTAAAGGTGGTGACAGGTTTGTCATGTCCTGTAGCGAAGTCTTAGTGAAACATAGAAATATTCTGGAGCTATATTTTTTCAAATGTCAAATCCAAATCTAATTTAAGAACACATTAAGATCATACACTCTGTTCCTTTCCGGAGATGCAAAGTCGATTCAATATATACAAAACTACAATGTGGGACAGTTACAGTGGACTTTTGTTCATCCTTAACAGATGAAATTATGACATTTGAAGGAGAATGAATGGAACTGGAGATTGCTGTGTTAAACAAAACAAACTAGACTGAAGAGGACAAAAGAACATGTCTCAATCACATGCGGAAACTAGATTTAAATACATGGATGTCAATGCGTTTTATATGTGCAGGTGTGTGCATGCACATGTGTGGGTGTCTATACCAGAGGGAAATCAATATTTGACAAGTAGGGGTGAAAGCTGCGATCAGACGGAGAGAGATCTGATGAACTCTGCAAAGACAAAGTCCCACCTAGGATGCTGAACATACCAGAGACCAAGAAAATAAAGATGTCGATGGGATAAGAGGGTGGATGGAGCAGAGCTGCTGAGTCCTCTGGGATAGCATCCAATTGCTTTTCTTACAGAACAAGATTATCTGAAAGCCTTAGAGCAAATGCCTGTAAGTTCATTTTTGAATCCAAGGGATAAGTATGCAGGTTTGAAGAAGGTTAGAGATCACATGCTACCTGTCTGAGCCTAAACATCAGATCCCTGGCAGGGAAGTATAAGACAGCTCACCTGAAGCAGGGGGAAGTTGGCAATAATGTTGGGATCCAGCTCTTCCATGTTGTAGATCATTTCAACCAGGTGAATATCAGCCTTGCTCAGCTTGTTGCCAACGAGGTAGTCCTGTCCATGGCTCTTTAACACCTGGAGAATTCAAGAGAAGACATCCTGAACACACAGAGCCAGAATGGGGCCCCTGCTTCCTCCTGTTGAGACCCTAACTCTAAGCATCGTTCTCTTAGTAGACTAGGGCACTGAGGTTCAAATAAGTAACTAAGCAGGAGACCCTGAAGAATGGCACCAACTCCCTTATAAAAGGATGCGGAGGGTTCCTTAACCCATTGGCTCGGTGAGGACGCTTCTAGAGGTTGGGTCCCCATGAAACAGGAATCAGGCTTTCATCTGCAACTGCATCTGCCAGCACTTTGATCTCCTTTTCAGTCTCCAGAATAGTTCAAACATAGCAGTGGTTGCACAACTCACAGTGTATGACTTTTTTCTATTTGGCAATAGCTCGACCACACTCTAGTACAAGTTCTAAACCTATGAGAGTCCTTTGGGGTCACATATCAGATATTTATTGTTACAGTTCATAACAATAGCAAAATAAGAGTAGCAACAGAAATAATTCTATGGCTGGGGGTCACCACAACATCAAGAACTGTATGAAAGGTACCACGCCTTAGGAAGTTTGAGAACCACTACTCTAAACTCTTTATAAAGAGCCCTTAAAGTCTTTTGTAATGCCATTCCTCTATAGCATGCTGTTCAACAGCTTAGCCCAAGTTCTCCTGTCTCAGCCTGATGAGTGCTGGGCTTACAGGTATATGGTATCACGTCCCCACCAGTATTATTGGTCTTGAAGTACAAACAGCTTCTGCAAACCTTTTCAAAGGCAGGAAAGTAACGGTTTGTTGCTTTCTCTTTCATCAGGGCAATATTTGCTTCTTTGACCCCAGGTGGGTCTAATGGGTAGAGAATATAAATCTCATTCAAATCTGCTAAACCTTCTGAATACATGTCAATCCTGAAAGACAAGAAAACACAACTGTCCACCACATCCTGCCTGACATTTTTCAGTTTGAAAATCTTAGAGAACAGAGTATCGATAGATACCACCCCCACCTCCTGCCCCTTCCTCTAGGGCTGTGTCAGACATTAGCTATGACTTTACTTGCAGGTTTAGTTTCTTAGAGAAATCTGTAACGAACACATGTGCCTAAAACCTTTGTTGTACATGTGGCCAAGTATACCTAGGAGCTATGGGGACTTCTCCAGAGTCACTATGAGGAGAGACTTTGGTAGGAATCATACATCTACCAACGATACTACAAATGGATTCCCTCATCTGCTTTGGTTTATTCTGTGAACAGGGTGTGGGTATCAGCAGTAAAACCTGAGAGCTCGCCAGTCCCTGGGAGAATTCAGATGCTCCTTGGTTCCTTTCCTACCACAGAGTCTGCATTCTTTAAATGTTACAAGTTCTCTCAGTCACTTTATAGTTTCATGCTTTGAATATATGTCTTTTATTCTTTTGGGGTTATTTTCTGTAACGCATAACATCTAGGCCAAGTGTGGCATATATAGGTCTAATTTCACCCCCATGCATGTAGATAGCCATGACTCAAGAGTAGGTGTTTGCGTCTGTCGCAAAGCAGTCGAGTAGATACCCACTCATATACACCTGGGATCTCAATTCCATTCTATTGCACTGCGTCTGGTTTCATGCCAGTCCCATACTAGCTTGGAGGCCATCACTGTGTAGCACATTTTGAAGTCAGTACTGTGATACCTCCAGTGTTGTTCTTTCTTGATGAGAGTTCTCAAGCCTCTATCCCTATGTTGTGTCTCAGAATATGGTCACCAGGACCCACTATAACGTTACTTGTCCCTCATCTCCATAGGACTCTGCTGTACTTCAACCCAGTATAAATACCAAGGCAAACCCTACTGGTGGCCATGACCCCCTTGTCATTGATCTGATCATTCAGTGAGGACTTAAATCCTTCTCATGATATCCATTGGTATCAAAAATATACTGTACAGGGCTCTCTCCTTCATGTCCTTCCCATAGAGGTTGTATTTGCTGGAAAAGTAGTTGAGAATGGCTCTGGTCTGCACCAGCTTCATCCCATCCACCTCCACCATGGGCACTTGTTGGAACATCAAATCTCCATCTTTTGAGAAAAGAAAACAGAGAGAATTTAAAAGAAATGTGTGGGTTCAAGAGAGATGGGTCAGCAGTTAAGAGCATTGGCTTCTCTTCCAGTGGTCCTTAAGTTCAATTCCCAGCAAGCACATGGTGGCTCACAACCACCTGTAATCAGACCTTGTGCCCTCTTCTGGCCTGCAGGCATACATGCAGGCAGAACACAGTAGACATAATACATACATACATACAGACAGACAGACATACATAAATATATAAATAATACATTAGAAAATATCCAGATATTTAGCTGGGCGGTGATGGTACATGCTTTTAATCCCAGCACCCCGGAGGCAGAGGCAGGCAGATCTCTGTGAGTTCAAGGCCAACTTGGTCTACAATAGCTAGTGCCAGGCCAGCTAAGACTGTTACAAAGAGAAACCCTATATCAAAATCCCCCCCAAAAAAATCTGTTATACATAAGCTTTCAGAATCAAATGTTACAAAACACCAAAGGAAAAGCATCTCATATTTCTCCCATTCTGCCAACCCTTGCTCATTTGTCTGTTTGTTACCCATCCAACATATGCTAAGAAACTCCTGTTTCATCATGTTGACTTCTGCTCAGCTATTTTTAGGAAAGTGGGACATAACGCAACAAGGTGATCAATTGATAGCAAAGTTGGTCCAGAGAAAATTTCTATGCAGGGTTCTTGTGTGTTCCTCCAATCATAGCACCAGGCAGTGTCTCCCAGGAAGCCA